TTTCAATTTCTGTTTCGATTATATATATATATATATATTGTATTTTATCAATATATATATATATATAAAATGATTTTCTTCCTCCTTATCGTGTACCTTTGTTGTATAACTGGAAAGCACGTCCGGTTAGCAATCGGTTGAGTCCTGCGGTAACGTTCCGGTGAGGTCCTGCACATTTTTTCCGTTTCCTGTTTCAAAAATTCTGGAAGACTTTAAATTGGCACCCAAACTTAAAAGGGAGCAGACGGTAAAATATCACCACCAAGATTTGGCGACTAGGTCACTTCTTTCCCAGTGACCCAATAAGTGGGGTAGTATGTAAGATATTTTCTTCCTCCTTTTTGAATGCATTTATGACGTAATTGAAAAGCACGTCCGGCTAGCAATCGGAAAGTCGAGAGTTCGAGTCCCGGCAAGGGCATTGCCCATTTTTCAGGTCTCTTTCTCCAAAGAAAAAAAGTGCGTAATAGCTTTACAATATTATATAATTATCACAGGACACAAACATGATCAATAGTGCAATATCTAAGACATAGTTTTCAATGTCTAGCAATAAAAGGAAGCTTAATAAAGGATAGTGTCCCTTCTAATAGTCCTACATCTCTCACAACAAGACTTCATATTAGAAATCAGGCATTTAATGTGACTCTGTGACAGTCAGTCTCGTTTCTATAGAAACAATTTTTCAGGTCCTGGATGGCTCTGGCTAGGGGAACGCAAGTTACAATTCTCCTCTCAAGAGCGTCCCAGCCATTCCAGAGAATCTTCACCAGATTAGAAAAAATATCAAAATCGTCATTTAAATAATATATTTTTCTAGTGGTAACATTAAACTAAAGCTTCCAGAAATGGATTTTGCTTGGGTGCGAAAATGCCTTGAATTTTATTGGCTTTAAATTATCCGCTATTCTCCGCTAAGCTTCTTGGCAAAAGTATCAACAGCAGCATTCTGCTGGCAAAAATTTCTTTATCATAACGTTACGCAAAGTACAATCTTTAACTCTCTCTCTGTCCGCTTTTTATAATTAATAGCTTTCTTAATTTCTTTTCAGAAATTTGCTATTCTCTGCAGGAAGGGCCACCAGAAGCTGGGGTTCCTATCTAGATATTTTAGACATATTCAATGGCCTAGTCTCTTTTACCATTCATATGATAAGCGAGTTTTTCAGTTACAATTAAAATGGCGTTAAAAATATAGACATAACTGAGTTTCGAATTGTTAATCAAGAATCCAAACCTACTTTCAAGGTACAGAGGGTTTTTTTTTTTTTTTTTTTTTTTTTTATCTATTACCTGCTCCGCCATTTGGCACTACATGGAAAGAGAAGGATGCCCAGTGTTGGACTTACTAAGGGAAACTGACTCGTATCCACATTACACAAGAGAAAAAAAAAAAAAAAAAAAAAAAAAAAAAACACCCATACAGTCATACCCGTTCGCTGGATATCGAACCCCGGGGAGCAAACTACCACTATTCAGAAGCTTTTACAGCTACGCCGCTGGTGGGGGACACAGAAGTTTAAGAAGAAATTATTCCAGATGAACGGGGAAAATGAATCGAACTTACACTGATAAAAGAGGAACGTAAATATGCCGTTCAAAATATATTCAAAATAACCAAATGTATGAAATTATGTTTTTTCAATTTATAACTGCACAGCTTTTTTGCGAGTGACGTGATATTTGAAGTAAGACCTTTTGTAAATTTTTTCCAACTGATAAAGGCATTTACACTTGAATTTTGCATCTCCCGTAAAATAAGCAAAGAGATGGGATAATGAGTAAGAAATCGAATTTTATGAGATAAAAATCTTAAAAGCGATAATGCAACTATCGTTGAGTATATTTATTTTGTTGAGTATTAAGTTTATGATATATTACTTGTATTTGTTTTGTATGATGCTTCAGTCCAAAGAACTGGCTTGAAACACTGAACCAATGTAATTGCCATTTTCATTTAAAAATAAAATTATTTTACATTTATTTTAATTTCTCTTCAACCTTCTTCGAATCTGACCAATATGTTCCATCCTTTTCTGAAATTATTGAGTCTTTTGTTATTAATTCAATAATTGCAGAAACTTTTACCAATTTTGCCATTAATTCTGTCTACAGAATCTATTCTGTAAACCAGATGAACTTTCAAACCGTTAGGAGTTAATAAATATTCATTAGTGACCGTTACAGCATATATATGACAATTTTGTACAATATGTATGACTAGCACTTATCTTCTATACGCATTTGTAAGCTGACTTCCGCAATTTTTTTTTTTTTTTACTACACCTAGGTTAAAAGAAAATAAAAAGGAATTAATAGGAGGAACATAAAGTGCGAAAAACTGAGAAAATAGTTATCCTTAACTTTTTTTTGAACATTTCTTTTTGAAATTAGTGTATTCAGTGTATATATACAATATTAAGGTGCGCAAAGAAAGTGAATTACTATATATCCTATTTCTAGTACAGGAATGAAAATGATCAAAGTAATTCGTATTTGCTAAAGATAAAAGAAATATTTTTATCATATAAACATTGACGTTATGTTTAAAGATAATAAAAATCGCCGTGTCTTTCCCACAAGAGCAATTGTCAAGCTCTGAAAGATATTGTGCACTTGAGCTTGTTTTATCTCCCTATGAAGCCTATGAACTATCATTAGGGGTAACTATTTAAGAAATGTTTAAATTGAAAATTAAAAATTTTTTAAAAGAACAAAAAAATGAAGTTTAAGAGAAAATTTTATTAAAATTAAATTATCAGTTACTCACTTAAAACTAATAATAATCCAGTAAACCTCCAGTTTTAATAATAATGTAATTCTACTCTCTTTGACCCATGTTTGAAGCATTTATTTGATTATAAACATTGTTAAAACTTCCAAAATGGACTTTTGTAATCAAACTGCGCAGCAGAAAATTAAACAGCTGGCTAAATGACTTAATAGCTCTTTATTTAAAAAAATAGCTAATTTAAAACTATCTGTTAACAAACAAAAAATAAGAAACTTACCATTTAACAAAGGACTTTACGATACATGTAATTTTAAATTTTAATTAGCTAGTAGCTGTTATTTTATCCTAAATATTTTTTTAAAATTTTGCTTCAAAATAATACATTACCTCTAAACTGCGAAGGGAGTTTTAGTTAATAATTTATTATTATTAATTTAAAAAGTTTCCATTTCTGAGTTTGCTTTTAAATAAATAAGATACTTTTGCTTTCACGACAAAAAAAGAAAAAAACAGATTAAGTGAAGAATCTATGTAAACATGATCAAGGAATTGCATTTTCTGTAGCTCGTTTAAAAAATAAAAAATAGCCATATATGAGCAAAATTTAATTGATTAAGTTATTGGAGATTTTCATCAATTTTTTGAAACTATCTAAATTTACTCCGCCTTTTTTTAAACTTGGAAATGAGAAAATTTAATTTAAAAGTACTTAATGATTCATACATTAATTCTGAGTGTCAAGCGCTTCTAAATGAGAATGGGGAGAATTGTAAGATAATAATGCAATCCCCATTTTGTCAATGACATGGCGTTAACGGAGTGAAAGGAGAATTATTTAGACGTGATTATCCCATTTAGAGCTATTATTCTCGAATGCTTTTCTCTGTACGAAGCATACGCTTACGCTCGAGTACTTGAATCAAAGAGACTCACGGAATCCATTTAAACTCCCTCCACCTTCGAAAGTGTTCTGCGCACGAAACCAAATTTAATCTGTTCAGATAAGTGAACTGATTTAATTAATCCATCTTTTACAATGAGAGAGGTGCATGCTCTCTAGATGCGAGCAATCCAAACACGGGATACAACTCCAGGGGGCTGTGACTAGACATCACGTGGCTATATGATGTCATCTTGAAACTCCGCCTATTTTAACACCGCCTATTTCCGCTTCCGGAGCCAAATTCCGAGCGCTTTTCGGAAAACTCGACAGTCGTTGAGCGCGGTGGATGTGATTCTCATGATAAGGTCTTCAGGAGACGACATGATCACGTGTCCTTGTGTTCTAAAGCTCCAGCCAGCCTGTAGATTGAAGACGAAAATGGATTTTTATTGAAATTTTAGTTCAAACCAAGCGAATTTATTTTAGAATAGTATAGTATGAGAAGTCTTAATTAAAATTTTAAAAAGTAACGATAATTGATGGGAAAAGTTTTAACGGAAAGTATATCCAGAAGTTACAACAGAGTGGCTAAATGGCTATTTTAAATTTTGATACAGAGTATTAAACAGTAGTCTGTACTTTTTTTGGAAAATTAAGCTTTGCATTTAAGCAACTTTAAGAAAATGTGTGAGAAATAACGCACTTCGAATGCATCCTAAAGACAGAAACTTTAATCTCATGCAAGAAAAAAGTTAAACCTAAGGAAGACAATGTACATCGAAATCTTAAACAAACTTGTTTATATCTAAAGCTATTTGCAGGAATGTAATAAACATTCATTTCTGAAGTAATATTTATTTCAGATGAATAAAAGCAATAAGAGATTTTTTCAGATATGTTACATAAGGTAATTATCAAATTTGCTGTGAATTGCTGACTACCTGCCAAAGATGCTCCTTTGCAATAATACCATTCACTACAAGATCATGCTACTGTTGCGATAGAAATATTTAAAATTTTATGCGAATTAATATCTAATTTTCAGAGATATTCATTTACATATAAATATCCTATATTACTATTTTATTTCGATAAAGACGTTAAAACAGCATACCAAAACTTGAAGGATTTACGCACTAAATTAAATAAGATATTTTGCGGCAGAATGTTGCAAAATTAAAAACCGTCGCATCAAGTAAAGTGGGGAAACATCTCAGGTTATCCACTGTAATCATCATTTTGAAATGGAGCAGCTCACAGAATTTGTGTCAAAGTCCTTCAATCCAGACCGACCTTTGTCCACTACTGTTAGTAGTTTTCCTCACCTTTTGGCCAGCAGGCCCGGCGGACCGCGTTCTCTGCACAGTGTGGTTGATCGCCTCTCTGCACCTCATATGTTTCCAGGACTCGCACTTGCTCACTCCAGCATGGGGCTGAGTCTGACTGCTGGGGCTCCGTTACTGTTGCCGCCACCCCGGCCTGCAAGTGGGGGCACATCATCGCCATCGAGTGTTCTCACTGACAAAGAGGACAGGACGAGAGAGGACGATAGCAACGACAGACATGGTAAAGAAACTTTTATTCTATTCTTATATTTTGTCATCTTAGTATTATCTTACCTATTACGCAATTTTTGATAAAAGATGATATTTAAGAAATAATTCCAACACATATCGGTTAGAGATTAAGACATGTTGAAAATAGAAAGTCTTGGGACCTTCTATATTCTTCTTGTTTCCTTCCCTCTTAGCAAAGTGAATTTACCTTAAAAGCAATTTTAACTGTGCTTTTAATAATATTATGAAACAACTGTTATTTTTATATCTTTAGTGCAGTAAGTAAAACAGGTTTCCATCAATTTGTAGCATGTCGATTGCAAAATTTCTGAATTTAGATTTTTTGCGTGCATAAAAAGTTAAATATAATGATAATGAGGAATTTTTATAGTAACATAGAGATTACAGTCCTTGCTCTTTATATATATTACATGGAAACGCAATTTTTAATGAACTTATTTTTCTTTCTATCAGCTTACGTTCAAAGAGGCGTGCTAAAACAAATGCGCCAGTTCCCAAAATCAAGATTTATTATTTTTGTTGAGTTTTAATTTCATTTAATAGTAGAGATTTATTTTATCTGTTTTTCAAAAGGTGCGTTGTATTTCTATACTGAAAAACAAACTCCCATCTGAAGTACTAATTTTCAGAGCTAATAACCTTAAGTTTTCAGTTTTTCAGTGCGTGTGCATGCGTATAAGTACGAAAGGGAGAAAATAGTGAGCCTTACTTGTAAACTCAAAGTGAAACATGTAAGGGTAAGAGTTAATTAAAAAAATTCCTTTTGCTGATATAAAGAAAGAGAGAGTGCATGTTTTCTCACCACTTATTCATCAATCATTGTTACTCAAGTTGTTTGTTTTCAGATAAAGAAAGACATGGGATATGAAAGAATTTTATTCTGAAATATATTTTTATATTAACAAAAAGAGCTACTTTAATGAAAAATTCGGATTTAAAGAAAGCTTTCTTTTAAATCACTTAAAACTTCGCAATATTTAAATAAAATTATCTTGCCTCGTATAACTTAATTATTTATTCGACATGCAAGTTGTCTTTCATCAGACGTTATATATGTACCTAACTTTTTTTTCTAAATAACCTGCCATTATAAGAGTAATTTAATAAATAAATTCTTTCAATGCATAAGCAGTTTTTATTATTTTATTAAAATAGCAGGTGGAATGTGCTATTCATTATTTTTAATCGTGCAAAATTCGCAAAGGAATTTACGATAAGTTTTTCATGCTCTGCTTTGAGAACTGTAGCAAAATTTTGCATGTCTTTCTCTTAGAAAAAGACATGGCAAAATATTTTTTTCTTTCCCTAAATTTTTTTTTTATTTATATGAAGGCTCGGCTTTTTATTTTAGAATATTGGCAGTTCTTTCTTCTGTGTCATAAAAAGACCGATAGAAAACTTATAAATGTCATTTTAGGATCTTTAAAGAATGCATATTATTCAAGAACGTTTAATAATACAAATTTGAACTGCGCAAAAATTCATGCATGAGTTGGTAGTATGGAATTTATTTTAGTTTTGGTGTTATTTGTCTTTGTGTAATTATTGTAAAAGAAAATTCAGATCTGTTGCTTCAGTTAGTAATAATTTAAAATTATTCAGTTTTGGAGTATTTTATGGAGAAAATAAAAACCTTTGATATCGAGAAGTATACTAACTGACACAAGGTTCGGTTAAATATGCATACACGTGGTAAATTTGAAAGTTAAATATATACCCCTGTGCACTATGAAAACCGGAACATCATATAACTTCGAAAAGAAAATATTGCTTCTTTATTACAAAGTAGGTTTTAAAAATTACGAAAGAGCTGGGTTCCAAATATGTAAGAAATAATAACTGAATTGTAAAATAAGGGACGTAAATATTATGTAGATATTGGAAGACGAAATATTCTTGAATCCGAATTCTAAATGTTTCTCAAATCTCTTGAATTCTTCATAAAATAATAAGAAGAGAAAAAAAGATTTACTTAAGCTTCGAAAGTTTTTAATTATGACAAAATTTAGAATCTGCATTCATAAAAAACAAATTTAATAGCGCAGGTTTAAAATCTCGTGTGTATACTTTTTAAGAAGGTATAAATCAAATTTAGTAAATAAGGTACTGCATAAGTAAAATTTCTGAATATTTGAAGCTTAGTTTTATTTTCTCACAATAATTTGACTAAAAATACATGTATAACAGTTCTTTAAAAAAACCTTACATTTTTCAGAGTGTTATTAAATCACTTCAAATAGAATTATTTTTAAAGAAGGGAATCATTATTATTTTTCGGAGGAGGATTATTTTTTAGAGTTATCCTAGATAAATGTTAAACATGAAACGCTAAATTATGCCTCTAGGTACTTAATAGTCTTGGCACTCAAGGCCGCTATGACGTAACGTTGATTGTCAGGTCCAGTGAAAGGGTGACAGTTTTTATAATTAATGATGAATTTACATTTTATTTAGCTTCTGTAAAACTAATCTTTCTGTAATTTTGAACTCAAGCGTCAAATTAATTTTAAGCTAGGATTTCAAATGATGAACAAAGCGCGAAGAATCTTGAATTATATTTTTAAAGATTTTTGAAATTTATGATTTTGAATGTCTCATTCGCTACTATAGACAATGATTTGTTGAGGTTTCATCAATAAACAATGAGACGGCAACTATTGTGAAAGAAAAAAAATATTTTTCGCAGTAACTCATTTTAAATAGCAAAATGCCGAAGGGGTAAAAGAAAAAGCATTAAGATTGAGTTATCGTAGAAAAATTATTCTGCGATTACTATTGCTGCAGTAATTCATGAAACACAAGAGGTAATATAACAAGACTATAATTATAAAAAGCTAAACTATTGTTACGATAATTCATATAATAAATACAAAAAACGTGCAGAGAGACTCACATTAAGGACAAGTATATTGGTAATGCAAAACTGTGTTATCTTTTGCTTTAACATATTATTAATCAGCTAGAATACTTTCCTAAACCTAAATTCCTACACATGACCTTGTTTACAAAATTTTTAAATGAGAATTGCGCAGTCAAAAATTTAAGCTATAACGTTTTCTATAGCAACAATATATTCAGTAATTAAAATACTTTATTGTTTACTAAGAGTTGTACTCTTAATAATTACTGAAGTTCAGTAAAACGTAGGTTCGTATCTCGGCAAACGATAGACGAATTTGCACGTCTACTATCCAGAAAAAGCTAATAATTTCTGCACGTTAAACTATAAAAAAGCTTCATTTAGGCTAATTTTTTTTCTCCTGTCTACTCTTATTCTTCTCCACCTATTCCTCTTTTATTTCACATAAAACAATTTTGGTGAGATTTTAACATACTTTTACTTCAAAGAGAGACGCCGCTTAGTGTTTTGAGGTACTTGTAAAGAGCAGTTATGCACAATAAAGATTTTATTTTAATCAAATATCCTTCTTTAAATTCCCAACTACTTAGCGATCGAGAAATTTAAGCCATATGGAGCAAATATCTTTGTGTGGCGGGTAGTGGGTTAGAGTTTAATATTGTTTGAATAGATCCAGTTTATATGGCGGCTCTTTTTATATACATAGAAGTTATGTTCCAAAGATAAGTTTTTCCCTTGAAAGAAAGAAATATAAGAAAAATCCCTTGAAAATAATATTGTGCATTTTCAAAGTATGAGCATATAGAAAAAGCTTTGTAAACACACACAAAGAATATAACATAGAAAATGCAACACCATGAAGTTTCGGCTGTACAAATATGAAAATTTCGGGGAATACATAGTGAAACAAGTCGTGCAGACGATGTTATATGCAATTTGGTCACGTTATTATAATGCGACATGAAAGGGAATTTAAACGGCAAAAGAGGCGACAGTCGCTACTCTGTGTTGCTATAGGAATCCAGAATTTTGATAAGTTAAAGGTTTTAGAAGACACGTGTGAATGAAGAGAGGCTTGGACGAAGACACCGTACGCAGTTCCGGCAAACGGACGATTTTAATAGGTGTTATATTGTAGGCTTACGTGCGATTGGTCGGTCTTTCCATCGTATCTCTACTGAAACGCATGTAGATGTATCCACTGTGTATAGAATTTGATCTACATGGATCAGTGAAGAAAATGTAAGCAGTCGCAAAAGACCAAGGCCGTCTAGCCTTACTACATAACGCATAAATCAACGCATACGAAGAGAAGCAGTAAGGGCCCCACAATCGGCTATTGTGGACATTTCTGCGGAATGAGCAGGGTGCTTTGGATACTCCAATATCTGGGAGCAATGTTTCTCTATGTTTGGCTGAAAGCGGCTCACACACAAGCCGCCTTTGCGAAGATTGCCATTAACACCAAGCCATAGATACGAAAGACTGTGATGGTGTAGTCAGCGAACCACTTGAACATCTGAATGGCACGATGCGGTATTCAGCGACGAGTTTTGGTTTTGTGTCTCTGATAATAGTCCCTGCTTAAGAATCTAAAGTCGTCGACGAGATAGAACCAATCTGACTACTATTTCTGAACGTCTCACTGCTCGTGAACGTTGCATAAAGGTAGGGTGCCATCAATCATGATAGTCGGTCACTCCTCTTACGTATCAAAGGCACATTGGTGGCTCGATGATACATTGATGTGGTGCTGCAGTCGGTTGTGCTACTTTACCTTCAGTGCGATTATTTTCTACAACACGACATCACACACGGCATTCGTTAGCCAACTAAGCTTGCAGCATGTCTTGGTCATTGTTTCTTTGGCCTGCGATGTTCCCAAATGTTTCGCCAATCGAGCATGTCTGGGAAATGACTGGTTGCCGTTTTTTCGCCCTTCCTCAGTCGTTATCGGAGGACGAACTTTAGAGGAGAGTTCAGAGCATCTGGGTTTCCATCTTTCAGGACACTATGGGCACACTAATTGAATCTGCACATCGTAGGGTTGCAGTTTACATCGCCGCAAGAGGTGGTCATACGCGTTACTTTTTCTCTGTAAATATCAGCACCGTATAAATTTAGCTTTC